TTGCTACAGGGACCTTGCTCAATGAACATTTTATTTAGTTTTATTTGAATCTCTTACCATTACTTTTTTGATTTGTATCATTATTTAGTCTTATTTGAATCTCTTACAAGTACTTTTAATGAGTTTGTTTACTTATTTGCTGCATAGATTTCTTTCATATGTGCACAATTGCTTGATTATTATATTAAGAATTAAATATCCTTCTTAAGTAAATAATTTGGACTCATTTGATATTGTGACAAATGGCAGGCTTTGCCCCTTTTTTGTTTCTGTCACTTATCGCTGGATGTGCTGCAAGGCCTATCTATCCCCTTCCTAGTAAAACATCCAATGAAAATAGACAGCCCATCCAAACCTCACGTCCATATAATATTGCACATCGAGGTTCAAATGGAGAGATCCCTGAAGAAACTGCTGCTGCATACATGGTATGTATGAGTACGCGCATTCGGCAAATCTGTATGCTTTTCCCTTTCCGTTTGTTATTTGACATGTAAATCATCAGCATAGGGCAATGGAATGAATTATTTGGTAACATCTTGCTTACATTACTTAAGTTAATGACTTATACTAGTAGCTGAAGCTAAATTTCTTGGAGCATAAGGGAAAATTGTAGAAAAAAACAAGGGATTTTCCTTCCTTAATTTATCTGCTGTGGAGTTTCTTTTTTTTTTTTTTCTTTTTTTTTCCTTCTTGTGGATTGATTGGGGGGTAGGGGGGGGGGGATCATGGGGTCTGAATTTGAAATTATATTTTTGATTATCATGATAGAAGTTTTTATTTTATGTAAATTACTGAAAATACCTTGTGGTTTGAGGTAGAACAAAATTTGCTCCTTGAGGTTTAAAATTTTACATTTAACTACCTTGGGTTTATTTCCGTAACTTTTCTACTTAACATCATTAATTTTATTTTCAAGTTTTTTTAGATTTTATTTTATTATTAATATTAGTTTAATGAAATATGGGATATTTTAGTCACTTGATTTTTAACTGTTTCAAGAAAATTCTTAGGGAAATAAACACAAACCTTAGGGGGCAGATTTATTCTTCCTTTTTTGTTATTTACCATTTTTTTTCTTTTACCCCCTCAAACATGAAAATTTATATGCTTAGATTACATAATCACTTTTAGGTATTGAAAAATTCACTTGTTACATCATGAAAGGTTTTTTAAATCACCATAAGTTATATGTACATTGACCATAAACTGCTTATTGCAGAGAGCTATCAAAGAAGGTGCAGACTTTATAGAAACGGATATCTTATCATCCAAAGATGGTGTTCTTATATGTTTTCATGATGTCACCCTTGATGAGACAACTGATGTCACAAAACACAAAGAGTTTGCAAACCGTAAAAGGACCTATGAGGTTCAAGGGGTAAACACCACAGGCTTTTTTACTGGTAAGGAAGCATACAATTTTCTGCCCCCTTTTTCCGCTTATAATAGTGCTATGAAGATGTTCAAATCCTGTGAATGTGCACAATGATTAGTCTTGCTCCATATGCACTCTGCAAATTGTGAATTTGTACTCTTTTGTGTTTATGTATGCTGTAACCTTGTAATCTTAGATGCCTTAATGGAACTTCCAACTAGTATGCTTCTATGACAGGGATCTAACTGAAAATACCAAAATATTCTTATATGCAGTTGACTTCACTCTAGAAGAATTAAAGAAGTTACGGGTGAAGCAAAGATACGTATTTCGGGATCAACAGTATAATGGTTAGTTCCTCTTTGATTTCTATATGTTTGGATTTATTCAAATTCCCAGCTCTAATATATCGCATCATTATCTGCTCTTTGCCATCCTTTGTATTTGCTGAGTTCCATGGTGAAAGTAACATGAAATCCTGAATTTTCCTTGATGGAGTTTGCGTGCACAAATCTAAGCATACTGTCTGAAAAGAGGGAAAAAACCAAAAAACAGAAAAGTAAGACTAAAATGTCAGGAACCATTAGATAATGCAATATGGAGCTAGCTGACCACTTTCATTAGCTGACTGTTTTTGCAAGGTTTCATAATTTACACAAGGTTGAGTCTCCACAACTTCATATCATCTAGTTAAATTGCTAAGAATTTTGCTGATTTCATTGATCTATCTCGTTCATTGCCAACTTTATAGCATTTGTATTCTAGAATTATGAAAGACACCTGTCACCTTTCAGGCTGATTTGACTGGATTCAACAATTTTCTTTGTTGTGTATTCCTCAGGAAAGTTTCCGATTATTACTTTTGAAGAGTTCATTTCAATTGCACTGGATGCACCAAGAGTTGTCGGAATCTATCCTGAGATTAAAAATCCAGTGTTTATCAACCAGAGAGTAAGTAGGCATGCTGGTTGCGTTTCCTTGTCTTACTGACTTCTTCTTTGGTTTTATATTTTGGGCTGGTGGGGATGTGTTGGCTAAAGGGTTATACGTAAATGCTAGGATGAATGGTTTAAAGGGCAAGGTTTCTTTGTCTGGTATTTCTGTCTACCAGTTTGTCATCAGAGGGTCAAGACAAGTGCTCTTTCCAGTTTTTGACCCTCATCTGTTTGTATATGGACTTCCTTTATTTATGAATGAACTCTAACTTTCAAAAAAAAAAAAAAAAGTTTTTTCCGTAAGCTATTACTAAAGATGGCCATCCAGAGAAGAATGTGGTTGCACCATAACTGATTGAGTTCAAACAGAGTGGACTGCTTTTCTTTCTTCTCTCCAAAAAATATATGTTTCAGAACCCACTTCAGATGATTTCTATAATACCTCTGACATCCCTCGGGCTGTGGCATTAACTGTGTTAGTGAAAAAGCTAAAGAACTTCTCTCTTTTGATCATAATTCTAATTCTATTTTGGGAGGTCAGTGACTGTTGATATAGTTTGAACTGTTTGAAAAAGAAATTTACATTAAAACTCCATTAGTTACATTTGTTCTGTATTCTCCCATTTTCCATTAGAAAACCTTGTGAAACTACCATGCAGATTTGTAAAACAAAAGATAAGTAGGGAATCTTTTTACAATCCAGTGAGCTGTCTATTGATTTATATTTCCTAACAACATTGATTCCCATGATTTTAACATAATGCCTTTGACAGGTAAAATGGCCCGATGGAAAGAGATTTGAGGACAAGTTTGTGGAGACACTTAAGAAGTATGGATATAGAGGTTCATATATGTCAAAAGATTGGTTCAAACAACCTCTATTTATCCAGTCCTTTGCCCCTACTTCTCTTGTGTACATATCAAATCTGACAGACTCGCCAAAAATCTTCTTGATTGATGATGTTACAATTCCAACTCAGGACACTAATCAGGTTTGTGCAAAATGCACCCTTCTGTCTTTCCCTTTTAGTCTTTATAGAATGCTCATAAGACAGCCATCTATAATAAAGTTCATAAGTTATGCAATCATTTCAATTCTACTTCCAGAAAAGAGACAAAAAGTTTAAATTGTGATAAAGCTGTTTGGTGTTTCAAAGATGTACGCCAGCATTCAATTTTTCTGGATCAGATTGTTTCCATATTATGTTGTCCATTTCTTTCCTTAAAACATACCTGCCACCTGAGTATACGGTCAATTGGAAGGACTTTTCACCCTGATCGGTCAACTTTTCTCAATTCAAACATAACAGATATCGGTGAATTATGTGTCATTTAGAACTATGGCCCTATAGATTAAAACATAAGCTAAATGCAGTGCTGCCTCACTGTCTTGTTTCACTATGCAACTATTTCTTAATTTAAATTCTTTTGAATTTTTTAGAATTCTAATGGAAGAAAATTCGATTGACTTTGTGCAGTCATATTGGGAAATTACATCAGATGATTATCTTGACTTCATTAAGGAATATGTGGTTGGTATTGGACCCTGGAAAGATACGGTGGTTCCCATAAAAGACAATTATTTGCAGACACCAACAGATCTTGTTGCCAGAGCACACGCCCATAATCTACAGGTAATCCCTATCTATAGGTTTTCCGATTGTTGGATGTGTAAAATGGCAGTGATGTGCAATGTTGGTTTTGATACAGGTGCATCCATACACTTATAGGGATGAAAACGTGTTCTTACACTTCGACTTCCATCAAGACCCATACCAGGAATATGATTACTGGTTAAACAAGATCGGAGTTGATGGACTTTTTACAGACTTCACAGGTAGCCTCCACAAGTTTCAGGAGTGGACCTCTCCTCTCTCTCAAAATGATGGCAGCGATAAGGGTAGGGCATCTAAATTATTGGACAAAATTGAGTTGTTGATTGCTTCATACAAAAATGGGTAAGACAATAGATTGTACCATAGGACAAAATTGAGTTGCTGATTGCTTCATATAAAAATGGGTAAGACAATAGATTGTATCATATCTGCGTCATCCTAAGTACAGCTTGTATGCAAAAAATATGGGAATTCCTTCAATGAAGGTGATTTCAGGGATTGTCCATCGTGTTGGGAATAATTAGCATCTTTGTTTCAGGTCATCTGATAGCCAAATTCCACCCCTCGAATGTGTGTTTAGTAATCTTTCACTCAAGTTTTGCTGTTTTCGCCATTTTAATTATTATGTGAGCCCAGGGAAAATCTTGAAATTCATGTGGGATTAACCAGAACCTAAACAGTTAACATTTCAAACTTGCACATCTTTAGAGGTAGATCAACGGGGCTGTAAAAGGTGAAGCAAAATAAGTTGAAAACAATCAAAAGCTGAGTCCTGTACATGGAAGTTACAAAGGTCAATGTAGCTTTACAATGTTGCAATCCATGTCGTTGGAATAAAGCAGGACCCCCTTTCTCTTTAAAGGGTCTTTTACCCAGAGAAGCTGATGAGCCCCAGATGACTTCCATGGAAGGTGAATGGTATCATGGGTGAGAGACAATGTTTTTGAACAAAAAGAAACTTGTTTATTTATCAATAATCAAAGTCTTTCTGGAAATGAAATGGACTTGGTTGTACTTCAATTTTCTAAAGAGCCAACAGATAATAGGAAAATGCAAGAGGACTCTGAACAGAGCAATGCAACAAAAAATTTCTAAACGGTTAGCTAAAAAGCATATTACAAACATGGGTTAGAATGAAGTCACAATCTAAATTAGTTATAACCCCTTAATCCGTCATTTACAAACAAAAACTGAAATCTTAATCCATGGAGTGAATTCACATTACGTTGCCTAGATCATTCTTTAAAAACAGAATATAACTACTGAGAATTTCTCATCCTCTTGATCTCTTCAAGCAAAAATCTGGACTCCTCAGCAAAGTCGATAGGAGCAACAGCCCTGACTGTTATCCTTTGCCTCTTCTCATTGTTATACTCATTCTGAGTAACGCTGACTCGAAAAAGATGAGGAACCCAAGTAGCTTCCTTCAACTTTTGTTGGTATGCATTCATTTCTCCTTCCTAAATTGGAAACATCATGAGGAGCGGCGAGACAATATTCTACATCTTACATGCATGCACGTATACATCTAACTCATCAGCAGAGCAATACTTTACCTTGGATTTTAGTTTATCAAGCTCATCAGCAGGGCATCCAACAATCCTCTCTGCTTCTTCATTGAAGGCAGAAACCCAAGCTTCACCACTTGCATCAGAGATCTTCGACACCATTATGTATCTAAGAAATGCAGAAATTATTAGAAATTTGTCAGCTAACTTGAACTCTATAAACCATGCAACTTATAATTACTTAAAATTTCCAAATCTTTCACCTTAAACTGCATTCTTCATCATTTTTCTGGCATCCTTCACACCAATAACCAGATCCAACAGCTTCAGTTACTTTCTTGTTGCAAGATTTGCAAGCATGGTACCACATTGCCTGTTCAGGCCTGATCAAGCTGATAAATGCTTTAATGCTGAAAAATGCAGGCTGGACAAGAAAGAAATTTGATCATCAAGACTGATTTTATTTACAATTTGAAGTCACTGGTATTCATCAATGAAATCTAATGCAGCATCATAAATATGACACTAAAATCGATTGCAACAGCAATAACTACCTCACATCTTTTACAGATTAAAACACACCAATCATTTATATTGCTTTTCTCAAATTGTTCTAAATAAAGCAGAATAGCATGCTATGATCCTGGCAGCCAAGTCCAAGAAGGGAAAAAAAGCTTCTTGTTATTCACAACTTAATTTAAAGATGCTTCTTTTGCGTGAATGAGTAAAAGTACTACCTTTTCCTCACCCAAAGATGGGTTGCCAGTAATATGAGAAAGGGGAACCCTATCTGTGTACATAGACCTTGCTCCACTCTTGGATGAAGGACTTAAACCTGAGCCAATAGAGGCCATGGTACTCCCTCTCCCCTCAGAATCATACCTGCACGGAAATAAGCCTGTGTGTGAAAATGCTACTTGAAAGGGAATAAACCATTAGGTTTTTTGCAACAATAGCTTACCAAGATCTCAACTTCTTTGCTTCAGGTATATCTGGATTAATCAACACTGAGCTTTTGCCCAATGTTGACAAAGATACACCTGAAATATTAACACCAAGATTCAGGATAACTAATTTTATTGTAAGATTTCTAGCCTATTATTTCTTAGAACACATACTCCAACACTAGAATACCTTGAAAATCACTAACTTTGAGTGATTTAATTGCAACTATAGGGGATTTATCGGCAATGTCAAACAATTCCTGGCCTACATTATTTGCAAGCTCATTCCACAGAGAAACTACCACTGTCTTCTTCCTGGCATCCAGAAATGCACAGCTTCAATAAACCATAATACTGACAAAACAAACACAGTGAACAAGTTGTCACTTACGACTCATCTGCAACAGTCATATCTCGCTTTGAGATATTCTCATTGTCAATCTTCCTTTTAATATTTGATACAGAAGTAACACTTTGAACAACCCCAATGATATCTGGAATTCAGTGCAATAAAAGCAAGACTAAGTGAGCATGAACAGCATAAAAAAGACTAATTTACACTTGTCCATAAATTATGGGAAAGAGTCCTTACCAACAAGTTCCCTTCCATTGACATAAGGACCCAACTGATCAATAGGGATAAAGTTGAATTTAGTTTCAGGAATAAACGTTTCTTCATTAACAGCCTCTTCCACCACAGAACTCTCATTCAACGTCATTTCATAATCATTTTGCACAGTCTTAAACTGCTTGTTTGCAACTTTCAGCGTCCCTTTTGATATGTAGTAGACTTTCCCCAGTTGAAATTTTTCATAGAACTTCCTAGCAGCTTCATTAAACATTGTGGCTTGTATTTGTGTACCCTGCAATAGATCAATCATTCAATCAATTAGAACCAATCTTTCTACAAGATAAAAGGTTTAGCACAAACAAGTATAAGAAAAACACAGGTTACAGCAGCTTACATCTTCATCTGTCAACTCCACATTGAAAACACAACCTTCTCCTCTAGCATTCTTGTAGGTACGCATATTTCCCTTGCTTGTAAGACGAACTTTAATTGTCCAATTTCCTTGGTAAGGATTCAATGAAACGAGGGGATGCACCCTTCTTGTCATTGCCATCCGGGCCGATGGAGCCATACTGAGAATTTCAGAAAAATCCAACACATTAACACAAAAAATCAACCAACTCTAACGCACTATAACCAAAGTAGATTGAACTTCAAAAGGGAAAAACAAGAGGAAACTTACTTTTCACGCTGTTCATATACAATTTGAGCAGCTGATTTAGAAACCACTTCTTGCTTCGGCTTCAAAATAATACCGGCACCTTCCGTTTTAACCTCATTTTCAAGCTTTGGCCTCTTTGATTCGATGCCAGATTCCTCAGTTTTGACTTCAGCCTTGATTTCTGTATCAAGTGCAGGGGATACTGCCTCGCATTTTGTTACAATTAAATACCTGAAACCCATTTCCGATTTTGAACATTAAGTTTAAGAAACCATATCTTATATCTTTGCCCCAAAAAAAATAAAAACAGTGTAAGGATAATTAGTAGTTACTTTTCTGACTTGTTGGGGATGTCATTGACGGTATAATCGAGAATTTTGACAAGACCCTTGTTCTGGATACTGCCTGAAGTGATCTCAGATGACACATTTGATGGAAATATCGCTCTCACTTTCATCTTCCCGTCACTTGCATTAAACCTTCAATCAAAGATTTCAACAAAATAATACTTAATCATTAGAAAAAGGAGAAAAAAAATGTGGACTATTGTTCTGTTTGTTGCTGAACAGACCCACGAAGAACAACAGACGAGAAAATCATAATGTTAATTTTTAAACAAACAAATCGATTTACGAGCTCAAAGCGCATTTCATTTCACACATCTGACAAACTTATGAAGTAATCAGGAAAAAAGAAGAAAAGAAAATCAGGGTACGCATTAACAAGTTGAACTAAAAAACCAAAAACCCAGAATTTATTTACCTATTAATTAAGTAAAATAAGAACAAAAAGTAACAAAAAAGAAAAGAAGTAGATTTAAGAAATATAAAGAGGCATACGTGTAACGGTTGCCGGTGAGCTTGAGATCCAAGACCTGGACGATGATCTCAGGGAGACCTGAGGCAGAATCCGGAGATGGGTTGGCCAATATCGTCGATATCGCATCTCGGCTTACCCATGTCGCCATTTCTCTCTCAATTTTTGTTGTTGCTGTTGTTTGTATCTGGGTAATGCTGGGGATATTACGAATGAAGAATGGAAGAAGGGATCTAAGAAAGAGAGCGTTTTATTTTGGAAGCGAAGAAATTTGGAGGGAGTTTTGGTGTTTTTAAGTGAGTTTCCCGCCACGAGTTTGATCATAATTTTTTAGCGGGAATTATTCCCTTGCTTTTCTATTTCACTCTTTCTCCCTTTGGGCCTCTGGCTTTTCAAACCTGGCGCTGCCGCCAAACGTATTTGCCTCGCCGCAAATATCATTGAAGTTACTCTTTTACCCTTAAATGAAGCAGATATTACCACCAGGAGCATCTGTTATGAAATTTCACTCTCCTTCTTCTTCCCTTCTTTGGTAAAACGAAAATCCGAAAACAAACTACAACTTTTTGCTTTTTATTATCCTACTTCGCTCTACAATGATTCATTTCTTTTTATTTTATCTCTTGTAACCAAAAACTCAAACTAAAGAGATTCTCGAATTATAATTGATCATAGATTTATATCCTTAGAATATGTGATATTTCTAATGAAATATTAAGTGGATTTCACTAAATAGTTCAAAATCTTTTTTCATGCTTCAACGTTCTTACGTGTTAGAGATGATGGTTACATGATCAATGTGATTGTTTTATAATGAAACGAGTAAAATATTCTATAATTGTATAATCTCATCAAATTACGTGTGTTGTAATATAAGTAAAATTAAAAAAGTTGAATTGTCTAAATTGATAGAAGTTTTTTTTTTTTTGTAATCCTTCTAATGTGAAAATGGTTCGGAGAGCTGAAATTGCAAGATAGAATGTTGTTTGGTTGGCTCCACAAAAAGGTGAGGAAAATTTAATGTGAATAAGGTGAAAATTGACGATGTTTTACGTAATTATATTGATTTAATTAAAATTAAATCTTCAAAATCAATTGATGTTAGAGACTCAAATTTTGCAAAAGTACATACCATCAGAGAAGCATTTTGAAAATTCAATACTCACACGAGACATAGTCAAGTAAACTTATGGATCCAAAGTGACTCAAAAAATTATGCTACATGGATAAATAAACCCGCATATATTTCACGAATGATATTGGCTTTGGACTTGAATTAGGATTTGGAAGAAAAAGGATTTTCATGTGGATATGAGCTTTAGATGGTAGGGTTTAAATTGGATTCTTCCACTGCATGAAATGAGAGTTCAGTAGGGATTGTCATTCTGGTATTGAACTTTAAGAATGGATACATTGAATGTAGAGCTTCATCATATTTTGTTTGAAAATTTATTACTTTATATAAAAAGAGATTTTGATGAGTTTTCAGATAATATCATGCGAACATATTAAAAAAAATTATATAAATTAAAATTATTATAAAATTTAATTTTAGATAAATCATATTATTAATGATCTGAATAGATGTAATTGATAAAATTTGTCGGTTCGAATTCTAGTAACATGAAAAGTAAGGCCTGGTTAAGTGGGGATGCAGCACCTTGGACGGCATTTTTTAAGAAAAAATGCGTACGGACAGATATCGTCCTCTACCGGACTGGTTTTATCTCGTGCCGTAATTAAAGTTTGCTTTGGACAACAAACACATGCTCTAGGAAGGCACTAACTGTGCAGTAAGGGAAATCATGTTCATGTGTCTAGACATCCCCAGATATAGGTACTAGACCCATAGAGGTTACGTTTTTCTGCAGTTCAAGATGTAATTCTAAGAGTCCAAAGTCAAATTTAACTTTAGTACTTAACAAGAATAATGTATATTTTTTAAAAAAAAAATTATCATCTTCTTATGTCATTTATTATTTTTTAAAAAAAAATTATATTATATTATCATTTATTATGATATTCACCTCCATTAACCCTTGTTTTTTTTGTAGCCTGCTGAAAAGATTGAAAACACCTCACAAAACCAACTCCAATAAAGACCAAAAATGTATCTTGATGTTTTGACAAAAAATGGAGAACGCAAGTTGTGGACTAAACTAACCAACATGGGAAGAGAAACTGCAATGCTACACAAAAGAAAGTTAAAAGTAGCCCAAACTTATAGCAGGAGTCAAAGGAACCCTGGTGCTTTAACCCCAAACTATACCCGTTGAATCATCTCAGTGCCCCTGATCAAGAACAGGATGGGCAACAAGAGAAGCAAGAGAACCATCTTCTTAGACCCGCATTTCGGGTTTCTTTAGGTGTCTCTGGCTTAGGGGTCTGTGGCTTTGGGGTTTCTGGAGGGGTCTGTGGAGTTGTTTTAGGGGTGGAGGGCCGTGACAGTTGCTTTTTATTCTTTGTATTTGGTCTGAATGAACCACTTTTACCTCCGTCACCTGTCAATCTTCATTATAAGAAAAAAGAAAAGAAAACCAGCCCGTTACTAACCACCACGACACCAAGCAGTCAAAAGGTTCAAATAAATTAACCACAATAAATTAGTGAGGATGTAAGGGATCTACAAGATTGTCTAATAGGCTACGTTTCAGAAATTGCTAGAGAAACAAGTAGTCAAGGACAGGGCTTAGCATTGCCAAAAGAATTCACTTGGATTAAATACTAGCAGGTAAGTGAGATGTAGATTGATTGCTTTCAGTTTACCTTATTTAGTTTGAGAGGTGAGATAAATGAAGCTTACATAGGGAAGGCAAAAGATTTGACACTTGTATCTGAATGCTGAGACAAACTACGGGAACGAGGTGATTCCTTGGCAATGTTTTCGTCGCGCTGAGATTCTTTCTCCCTCAGAACCTCCCTCATTGTTTCTGCTGCTGCTGCTTCGCTCACACCATACCCATCATCCAAGGTACCGCTTTTCTTGGCAATTTCTGTTGATTTTCTGGGTGGTGTCTGGCTACTTGGGACGTCAAGCAATGGACCAGAAATGGTGGGATCATTGATGCATCCAAGCTCACCAGATTTAGACATCCAACTTAATTGGTCCCTAGTGAAACTCATGTTCCCCATGTGAATGCTAAATAATGATTCGTTGGAAGCAACACTCCATTCCATTGGGCCTGAAGATTTAGTCCTAGCAAAGACATAAGATGGAATCCTATCCGAAGCTTCGGAAGGGGAGCCTCCAGCAGGTCGCTCCGTGGGCAGTGGTGGAGGAATTGGAGCGGCTGAGCCATCACTGGATTGTCCGCTGTCGGGCATAGAGCTAACTGGAATATCTTCTTCAGCTTGTTCATCCCTAAGGGGGGTGTGAACACCTGCATTCGATGTACTGGTTCCAGTTGAACCCAACCGGATGGCTTCACCAGATGAAGATGAGGAAGATGAATGAGAGGGGGGTCTTGACTTTTTGGCTGCAGTAGCATGACTATTTTCACTAGGACTAGCTACTTGGTGCGTCTTTAAATCGCTCCCAGTATCATGTCCCGATTCCATAACTGAAATGCCTGATATATGTACTCTCTAGTCCTATACCATCTCAAGACCCAGGAGTTCATGCTGCATTAAGTAAGAAACAAAATGAGACTTCCATTTCTATCCACTTACATGTACAAAGATAAACGTTTTAATCGGGCAGAAGTACAAAAATATTCCGGGCAGGAAGAAACTTGCAAAATTTCTGGATAGTTTCAAACACGACACCTTAGGCTACCTACAATTGAAACCTGGCTTGCCTCTTTCAAGCATTGCTTTCCTTTAAATCAGAAACAAGTGAATGTGCTTGGTAATTAATCTCTGAACAAATTCACTGCTTAACCATTAATCCAAACTCATAAATAATTATTGAAGAATTCACAGTCCTTTACAAAAGTTTCTTCCTTGCAGATAAAGTTTTGGGGTATGGTAATGGAAATGCGCATGCCATGATTCTTCGCGCATATATTCAAATTCACATTAAGAAACAAGCAAGATCATAAATCAAATATAAAAAACAAAAGAGATGGAAAGGAATGACAAAATGAGATCAAACAAACCAAATAGGAACTTACTTAAAAACCAACACCCTTCAAATCCCAATGAAAACTTTTGATCCATCCACCAAAGATGTAACCTACCCTCTTCGATTTCGCATGCACCAACAGAGAAACAAAAAAACAAGAAACAACACACCTGGAAAAACCGACGGGGAGTTGCAGACAGGCAGAGATGGGAGAGAGAGAATGTTGGATGCTAGCGGATAGGGATTGAGAGGGAATTTTGAAGGGCCCGGCATAGCTATAGGCACTTGTTTCTCTCTTTTATCTATAGTAATAACCAACTTTGCTAACCACCTTGGAGCGCCATGACTCAACTAACTTCTTAGAAAACTAACATACTTTAATATATCAAAATTAATGAGATGATTTGATTGATTAATGGTGTATATGGCTTCAGCCCCAATTTACAATGTAACACGAGTGTTAGCTAAAATTCACAATTAGTAACTGTAACAGGCCCATCCCCTACTAACCCAATCTGCACCCATACCAGCCAATGACAAATTTGTCTCTTGCAGTACTGGAAGCCATTGCCCCAGCAGCTACATCACTGTCAATCTCAACTGGTTTGGCAACACCGGCGACCAACTTTAGTTCAAAATTATGAAGAATCACAACGTCAACAGCACCCCTACCGCTCTTAGCATCACACTTCTTGAGAGGAAGAGAAATTAATTTCATCAAGGGATAATGCCACATTTGGTATTTATAGGTTTTTTTTTTTTTTAATAATAGGAGAAATGGATTCGAATCTTATTTTTTTAAATAGCGAGATCATGCATTAACCAATGTACTAAATACTCAGGTGCTGATATTCATAGGTTAATAAAATATCTAATATGATATTTGAATATTTATTTAGTTTTATTTCTATGAAACAACGTTTAATTCTATTAAAAAATTTTATCAATCAATTAAAACACATCACATATAAAATAAGTGTTAATGTCATTGATTTATATTTGAATTTAAATATAGATTTGATTAGGATTTAAATTGGAATACAAATTATAGATAGATAATGGGGGATTTGTAAGACACACCAAGTTTGAGAACATGCTTCGATAGGAATAGGATCGATGTAATGGGGCTCAAAGACAAACTTTATGTACTTAAGGTTGCATGGAATTAAGCTAAAGTCTCGATGCATGACATTAGGCCATTCTTTGTGCTATCACATGTGACATAATTTTATTTGTTTAAAAATATTTTTTTAAAATTTAAAATTTAAAAATTATATTCTTTTTTTCCTTTTAAAAAATAAAAATATCAAAAATTTTAAAAAAATTATTTTTCTTTTTTTAATAAAAAATTTAAATTTTATTTTTGAAAAAAAGACCCAAAACCTAAAAAAATAATGTTTTATTTTTTGCAAAATAAAGACATGTTATGAATATTTTGTGAATATCCATTTATGTTATCTATATCTAGATTTGATCTAAATCAGATTAGATTAAGATATAATTCCTCTAATTTCTAAGTGTTATCCTTATCTTGTAAAGGGGTTTTTTACCTATAAATAGGTCCCTTTTAGTTTATTTGTATACACACTTCAATAAAATTTCTTCTCTCCCCTAAATACTTTCTTTCTTCTTTTTAAGTATTCTTTCAAGTTATTTTTATTTGTTCTTATAAAGTTAATTTTTCATAACACGTTATCAGCACGATCCTCTAATCTCTCACCCTAATCTCTCACCCTCAAGCTTCACAAAGTCGACGATCTTGTAATTTCTCACCCGCAAGCTTCACAAAGTCGAAGTTCAATTTTTCTTCAGGTAATCTTTATTTATTGTCATTTTATTATTTTGCCAAAATTTTACCAATTTCTAATAAATCAATTTTCAATTTTATATTTAGTATTTTTCATCAGCCAATTAATTATTTTGCTTGCCAATTACGATATATTGTAATACTAACATATACGTTCTTCTTTTAAGCTATCACAATGTCAAATCTTACAAAGCTTGAATTTGTGGCTCTTGATATTACTGGTAAGAACTATCTATCTTGAAGTCTAGATACTGAAATCCATTTAGATGCTATGGGTCTTGGAGACACAATCAAAGAAGAAAATGAAGCATCCAATCAAGATAAGGCAAAAGCAATGATTTTCCTTTGCCACCATCTTTATGAATGATTAAAAATTGAGTATCTCACAATAAAAAATCCCGTCGATCTTTGAAAAAATCTAAAAGAAAGATATAACTACCAGAAAACAATAATTCTGCCAAAAGCTCTTTATGATTGGATGCATTTGTAATTGCAAGATTTTAAAACTGTAAGTGAGTATAACTAAGCATTATATAGAATTAGTTATAAATTAAAATTGTGTGGAGAAAAGGTGATTGATGCTGATTTGTTAGGAAAAACATTTTCTACTTTCACACCTCAAATGTGCTCCTGCAGCAACAATATCATGAAAAGGCTTTAAGAAATACTCTGAACTGATTTCATGTCTCCTTGTGGCTAAGGAAAATAATGAGCTATTGATGAAAAATCATGA